CTGATCCTGTTTGATCAAGGCATGTGACTGTTCTGACTTGTCCAATTTTCAGCATCAGTTTTTCATCTTGCATCAAAATTCTGTCTATTCATTGTATGCATTTGAAATATAGAGTTGGGTTTTGTTTTATTGTACCCAAGTGTACCTAAAATAAAAAGTGTTTAATATACAGGTTTGTGGCTCTTAATTTCCTATTAATTAACCATTTGTAATCTTATGTTCACTGTTCATTTTTTGTAAATATAGGATTTGTATTAAATCTATATTCATTCATATAGTCAAATCGAATCGAGAATTGAAATCAAAAATCGAATCGAATATAGAATCGACATCGAATCGACTTGAGAGCTTGAAAATCGAAATCGAATCGAATTGGAACATCTGAATCGATACCCAGCCCTATTATATATAGGCTATGTAAATTCAAAGTGAGTTTGATGAGTTTGTTTCTTAATTACCAGCATTGCACGTTGATAGCCAAACGTATAAACGGAATTTAATTAAATAATCATTTAATATTACAGCGGTTTTAACTGTTCCAACGTGATTAATTAATTTAATAAAATAACATAGGGCAGCTGGCCTACGTTAAGTAACTCCAGTGGAAGTCATTAACTGACATTTATTTATCTAATTCACCATTGAATTACTTTTTTAATATGCAAAGCAAAAGCAAAGTGTGTAGCCTACTTAAAGATGATTTTCTTTTAGAAACACGGTAACCATTTCCGCCAAAAGTGTCTGTTGTGTGTGGAAAAGTACCATAAGTTCCAAAAAGTCATGCTTAACCCTCTACCGCACGCATTATGATAGACCTATAGAAAAAAAGTCATGCTTAAAATAAGACCACCTTTACGTATGTTTCTCAGCGCTCGGTACTTTTCTAACTGGAGCGCAACTGATGGGGCTTTTATTTTGAAATACTGAATTGTAGCGAAGGCAACGGCGTGATTGAGGAAGGCTTCACGGCGGCCGAGGACCGTTCACAACAAAGGCGAGAGGCAGATTTTTATTTAGAGTCAACAGTTTCATCAAATAAGCGCTAAATTATTCAGGGTCAGAAAGAGGAAAAACGACCGCTATCGTCGTGCTATTTGGGTAAGTATAGTTAGGTTATGTAAATTTTGTTGTGCTTCATCGGAGAAAAGACTTGTTTGGAACGACATGCAGTATTATTAATACGCTTATATGTCACAACAACAAATCGACTGGTTGCATTTATTTGTTATAGTTATGCATATAAACACTCTGTATCTCTCTATCTGATGTAACATCTGGATAATGTCAAGTTTCCAAGCTAACTCAGTTATCATGACTGATCTGAACATAAACGAGCTAGAAAAGCGGACAGCTCCTGTATTGATTTTATAATTACAAGTAACAGATGCGCCATAAGGAATGCATGGAAAATAAAACCATCCAGATATTAGAAACAGTGGCCAGCTACTCAGCTGAAAACACGCCCCGGTGACTATTTTTTGTCAACGTAAATAATAATGTTTTGCAACACATGACTGCACAGTCCAGTGGCTATTTTCTCGTGATTCGAGTGGGTAATCTATGTAATGTGTATGTAAATAGCAGAGGCTGTAAACACGTCGCTCAGCCCCTTCTAGGAAATCGACGTTTGGCTATAAACAGCGCAAAGAATCTGGAGCAGCACACACAACAGCTGACTTCCTGCATGCTGAGCATTTCACTCTCCAACTGGAGAAATTAAACGTTAACGTATCATAATACCCTTGCAAAAGTTACCATGGTAACCATAGTTTCCGCGTCAAAATGCCATAGTTACTACAGCTATTGTTGCTACCTTAGAGCTGTAATAGATTTAATATGACATATGCTTCGAACTGTGACAGAAGTGTTTTGTGATCTCTCTTTTGCGGTTTTTGTGCTAATAAAAACATGAAGCATAGAGAAACACTTTTGAGAATTTTTATTTAAATGATCCACATAAAATGAAGGCCCAACATAACTTGGACTTCTAGAAAAAGCTGTTTTATTCTACATGAAGAGGGTCGCCCACTTGTGGCTGCTGCCATGCTTACATCACGTGACTAACCTTATGCCATTGACAGAGATGGCAATAATAATTAAAAGCTTATTTTGCACACAGAAATGATTGAAATTGAATCCAAAAATGTACATTATATGAATGCATGTAGTATGAGATGTGAAATGGAGCAAAACGAACAAGACTTGTCCATTTTGCTCCATTTCACATCTCATACTACACGTATTCAACAAGTACAGCTGGTACTAAACAACTAATAAACAAAAACTTTTTTGTTGGGGATTTTGAAATTATTGTGGTTTTATGTAATACTAACTCTCAAATTCATAACATAACTCTCATTTTATAGTGGAAATTATGGTTACCATTTCAATATATTTTTGTAAGGTTAGACATGACAAGTATTACAATGCCCTGCAGATCTGGGGCACTTTGATATAAAAAGAATAGAATGATGTGTGTGTTTTAATCTATCATAACCGACTGGCTTTCAGGTTTCTAAGTGTTTAATGATTGAATTAAACACATTTTTGTAAATTTTGCCAATGAGAAGCTTAAAGAGATTGTTTATTCAAAAATTAAAATTCTTCCATCATTTACCCACCCTCATGTCATTCCAAAACGGCATGATTTTCTTTCCTCTGTGGAACATAAAAGAAGATATTTTGGGAAATATTCTTAAAATCTTATGTTTTTTTAACATTTATTTTAGCCTTTTTTTTATTAGTATAGGACAGTATATACTGACAGGAAACGAGGAGGGGTCAGGATTGGGAAAAGACTGTGAGCCGGAACTCTAACTCGGGTCACCCAAAGCACAATGGGGCTGTATGTTTGCACGAGGCTATCGGCACCGACCTCAGTGTTTTTTTTTTTTGGTCCATACAATAGAAGGGTCATTCCGTGTCAAATCAACCAAATTTCAGAATTTGCCCTGGCTCAAATTTTTTATTTTGTCAATATTTTTCTGAAGAAAGATAAATATGTATAGTGATAAAAGCCAAAATATTAAATGTCATCGCTGAGTAATCCACTATTTTGTGGGGGTGGGGGTCAAAATGACAATTTTAGCAATCTTTGTTGCATTATATGCCAGTAGTGACTGTTCAAAAATGGGGAAAAAAACACTTTTCAGTGTGTATCAGCTATATGCAAAGTGACCACATTTGGTTTTCAACATCAAAAATGGGTAAACTTCCACAAATTGAACATTGAGTCACATTGGGCTATGTCTTTGGGATTGAACCATACAGGGCCTTAAAAATGGAGATTACAAAAGAAAAGTTTATTAAGAACTTTACTAAGAAGTTTATTAAGAGAGATTTTTAATACTTCCTGATTTACAGGCACTCAAACTTTGGAAAAAGAATATTTATGGCACTCGGACAGGCATGTTCTCCACAATTTTTTTCATACAGGGAAACAAGATTAGGGCTGCACGATAAATCGCATGCAATTGTCATGCGCATCTCGTCAGTAAAGCCGGTTCTGTGATTAGAAGTAAATCTCCATCATGTGCATTCAGATGGAGTGGCATTTACTACACAGAGCCGTAGTTCACTGACAAGCTACGCAATATCACATTCATTATCGCAGGCGATTATTCTGCGATTATGAACGCGCTATTGCGTAGCTTGTCAGCGAACTACGGCTCTGTGTAGTAAATGCCGCTCCATCTGAAAGCATGTGATGGAGATTTACTACTAATCACAGAACCGGCTTTACTGACGAGATGTGCATGACAATTGCATGCGATTTATTGTGCAGCCCTAACCCTTTGGTTACCAACATTCTCCAACATTTTATATTTCACAGAAGAAAGAAAGTCAAACAGGTTTGGAACAATGTCAAGATAAGCAAATTGAGACAGAATTGTCATTTTTGCCTGCACCATCCCTTTAATGTTTTGACACCCCTCTTTAAAATATAGTTCACACTTATCGTTCTGTATAAGCCAATGCAAGACCACCCAAAAATATGTTAACCATGAAACTAGGCCAGACGAGTTGTGTTTTACCCATGAGGTTGCCTGTCTGTGATGAAATTGAGTCAGTTTTTGTAAATGGCCCTATTTATTTTTTCTGCTGTTGGGATACTATATTCATAAAGTCGGTGTAAATATGAATACAGCTGACACCTCAGGTGTCCATGTTGACAGATGGCATTTGTGGGGGCATAACTTTTGCCCTGGTGAATCCTGCCCCTCGACAGAACCTGCTCGCAGTATGTCGACAGCTGTTGGCGAAGGGAGCCGGAAGCCCCTAGTGTTCCTGGAGGAAGTCTGTTTCGTTCCTCACAAGCTCCTGTGGAGAATGAGTCAGTGTGTTGAGACAATTAGCCATCTGCTTCTGATCCAAGACCTGTTTTCATTTTTCTCTCTGGAAGGTTGACAAGGATTGGCGTAGATGCGCTGGTTTTAGATCAGCTCTTAGAAGCGGCTACGCTATTGCAGGTCTTCTAAAGGGCACACATGTGAAGTGAGACATGTTTAGCATCTGCTTCTGTCAGGCCTCTCATGTGGTTAAACGCGTGATTTTGTTTTGTAAGTACTGTTTGGTTATGGTGGAGAGTCAGTTTGCTTCTAATAAGCACTTCAGGCCTGTTCCTGCAGATTTTTACTGCATGTGGTTGTAAAGGTTATACATTTATCACAACTTCAAATAGGATATATTTTCCTTTGGCTTGTGTTTTGCTTATTAACATGCCTTGTGGTGGAGTTCGAGATTTTTCCGATGTTTACTATATGATGTAGCTCACTCCTATCTGATGAAGTACAGTGGACACATTCTTTGCTTTATTCTTATTTCCAGGAAGCGCACAATGTCGGCTATCTGTGGACCCACCGGCTGAAGAGGTCTGATAGTTCTGGAGAGCTGGGAAGCGAGAGATGGGGAACACGGCCACCAAGTTCCGCAAAGCACTGATCAGTGGAGATGAGGTTTTGGGCTATCAGCTCTACGAGGGCAGCCCTCAGTTCAAAGAATCTCTGGACCCCAACACCTCATATGGGGAACCGTACCAACACAACACCCCGCTCCATTATGCTGCCAGACATGCCATGACGCGCATACTCAGGTAAGACATGGCTTTCAGTAATATTTAGTATTTTGCCATTCTGCTTATTTTTTTATTTAAGCTATCATTACCAAATGGCTTTCTGACTTCCAGATGTTTAATGATTCAATGTTTAACTTAATGGTTTTGTTTCTTATTTTCATGTAAACTTTTATTCAAAAATAATAAAAAAATTAGGGATGCACCGATATGAAAATTTTGGCCGATACCGATAATTCTTTATTTTTGAAAGCCGATAACCGATATGTTGGCCGATAAATCTATATCCAAATTTTTATATACTTTTTGAGAGCCTGATTACAAAAAAGGTCTCATCATTAAAAGCCACATCCCAAACACTTCAACATAAGCAGCCTAGTTTGAACGGTGTACGTTTTAAAAATAATTTTACTCTCCCATTACCAAATTTAGTCATAAAAAAGTCTTACAAATAAATAAAATAATGCATAAATAATGCAAATAAGTCACTGGACATCATTACACGTGTAAAGAATCAAAATTAATGCGCCATAGAGATATGGTGGCCGATATATCGTGCATCCCTAAAAAAAATCTGTCATTATGTGCTCACCCTCATGTTGTTTCAAAACTGTATGACTTTATTTCTTCTGTGAAACACAAAAGAAGATATTCTGAGATATTTTCACAGATTTTTGTATTTCATAGTTGCATTTCATCTGTAGCTGTGATTAATGTGTTAATAGCACTGTTTTGTTGTCATCCATACATTTATTAAAATACATTAAAAATGCTATTTACATACAACAGCTTGAATAAACCTTCTATGATATGCATATTTTCAATTTCTGAATTAAAATTCGTTTTGATATTTTTTGGATATAGACTACAAACCATATTAGGTAGTCTGGCATAGGCTTTTAATATGATTTCTTATAAAAATATTCTGCTTCCCTGCTTAATAAAATGTTAATATAAATGTAGGAATTGTTAAAAAAATTTGTCTGCCAAATCATGAGCTCCAAAATGAAAGAATGCAAAAGAAAATATTACACAAGAAATTATACCATAAAGAGGGCATGAAGATCATTATGACTCTGTCAATACGTGTTTTAAAATATCTTAAAATACATTTTCATGACAAGACGATGTTAGTTAAATGTGATGTGGTGCTGCTACCTGAAGATGTAATGATATTTATGAATTAAGAATTCATTAGAATGCATACTTCTTTCCTAGGATAAATATATTTAAAAAAAAATTTTTACATAATAATTATGACATTAAATTCTTTTTTACTTGATGGTTAAAGATAGGGGTGCTCCGATCAGGATTTTTGAGGCCGATTGCCGATCACAGAAAGCAGTATCTGCCGATACCGATTACCCGATACCGATCTTTTTAAAGCCTTCTTTTTATCATTTATAACTATTTATAGTGATACTCCAGTCAGGATTTTTAGACATTTATTCAGGGCCTAAATTTCATTTTTGAAAATGGGGGGAATTCCCCTCTTAGGTGACTCTTGTGAGAGGGGAAGCAGCTTTCACACAGGAGTCTGCTACTGATCCGTGGCTGTTTACCACAAACACAACATTTATCCATTATTTTGATTTCAAATCCAAACATTGTCACTGAAAATGCTTTTTCAGCATTGCAATTCTTTTTTTACACAGTACAGTAATACAATCTTTAACAGACATGTTTAAACACAATAAATATAAGCAACACATTATTCAATGCTTTTTACTTTTGCATTTACTTCTAGATTTATATATTAAAGGGGTCATATGATGTTGCTAAAAAGAACATTATTTTGTGTATTTGGTGTAATGAAATGTTTATGCGGTTTAAGGTTAAAAAAACATAATTTTCCACATACTGTAAATTATTGTTTCTCCTCTATGCCCCGCCTTTCTGAAATGCGTAGATTTTTACAAAGCTCATCGGTCTGAAAAGCGAGGTGTGCT